CTTACTTGGGAAGTACCATCAGCCCCAACGGGTTGATCTCCGACGAATACAGAGGGCTGGTTTCGCATATGCCAGTTTACGCCGTCTCTGGCGTAGACGCGATATCCGACTATCGACCAAAGGGCGTGTGTAATGCTCAACAGTCCGCTCCGTCCTCCTTTATGGCTGTGAGACCTGGCCATTGAGAGCAGAAGACATGAAAAGATTAGCTGTCTTCGATCATAGGTGTCTGCGTTCTATCTCCCGCGTGAAGTGGTATGATAAGGTGAGTGATATTGAGGTTAGGCGTCGAGTGCTAGGTAAGGCGGGAAAATCAATAGACGAGACTGTGAAATTACATCGACTGAGATGGTTAGGACATGTGCTACGTATGCCTAGTCATCGCCTTCCTCGACGGGCAATGTTAGCTGATATAGGGCCAGGCTGGAAAAGAGCTAGCGGCGGTCAAACGAAAACATGGCACCAGTCAATGAAATCTACAACAGTTAGTCTAAGTCACGTAGGAAGGTGTAGACTTCCTGGTTGGGGTCCTCGGGACGGTAAAAACCAATGGTTGGAAACAATTGGTGACATGGCTCAAAATCGTTCTCAGTGGCGCAGATGCATCCACTCCTTGTGACTTATGATTTCCAATGAAACTGTTTTGTTCTTCGTTATCACTATTCCTTTGTCTCACACCTCTGTTTACTGTCTCTAATATGCATTTCTCCTACTTTCTTCTCTTCCTTTGTGTGCTACATGGAGTGTGGCGACTTGAACTGCCGCACATATGTGCAAAGTTCTATGTCGAAAACCGACCGACCGACCGATGATGAAGGAATTTAGTAGCTCATTGGGCGAATACATCTGGAGGAGTTGTCTATAAAGACATTTAAATATTATTGAAATGTATTAATATGTCAAATGCAGAGAACACAATTACACCGGTATAATTTAAATATGCATTTTGGATAAAATTTTATTTTGATAAAACCACTGTGTTATGCAGTAATATTTACTGGTAACCACGTTTCGAGCATAAATTATTACGCATAATCATATTAAGGCAATCACACAACTTTCTTGGTTGATTTATATACATGAGTATATAATGCTCTAATGCTGGCGAACTGCGCGTATTATTCTCTACACGACCAATGGTGCTACCTCGACTGAAAGATGAAGTACCTAGACTAGCCACTTCAAATTGTATCTACCAGTTCAACTGCGCTTGTGGAGCGAGTTATATTGGCCGTTGCTCTAGGAACTTGATTTTTCGTGCTCGAGAACATCTCCCACTATGGCTAAGTAAAGGTGTAGTTAAAACCATTAACAGTTCGATATTGGACCATGTAGTGCAAACCGGTCACAAAGCCAGCGTGGAAGAATCCTTCTCTATAATCTACTGGATGCCTAATAAATTGCTAAAATCAAACAGCAGAGGCTATTGCAATTAGCCTCAAACAACCAGTGCTCTGTGTGTTCAAAAGAAGCAAGTCCAGCCCCTACTACTGCCTTGGCCTTCAGTAGAGACTATAAATTCATGAATTTGTAATATTATCTTTCCTAATTTTTCTGACATTCAGCTTATTTTATGTTGATGCTATTGAGCTGTAATCTATCAATATTATTGATTCGATGTTATTCAAACAACATTAATGTTGCTCATAACACTAATTCATTCATTCACTATAATGTATATATAACTGTAGAGTCTGATGATGAAGTTATCGAAAAGAGTACTCTTTGTTCAGTATCCATTCTTTTGAAAAATCTGATTATATAAAGAAAGTCACTGAACACATTTAAACGGGTCCATGTGAGGAAATTAAGAAACCTGTAGATACTGTAATGAATAAGATTAAGAAATCTGCAGCGGATTAAATACGTAGTATGAAGCTGTCACTGGGTGAGTCTTAATGGTTTAATTTAATGCCTAAAAGTAATAACGCTAGTAGAATATATGGTACTATAAAAATACATAAACCAGGTTATCCCATAAGACCAACAGTAGATTTCAGAAATACGCCGATGTATGAATTATCAAAACACTTAGCTCTTATACTATGTCCCATTAGAAATCGTTCAAACTCTAAGCTAACCAATTCATGTAAAATGAAAAAGAAACTAAATAACATTCAATTAAAGAATAGTGAAAGAATGATCAGTTTTGATACAACTAGCTTGTACACTAACATACCAGTCAATATGGCCTTAGAAGCAGTTAAAAGGGAACTAACTTCTGATCCCGAACTTAGTCATAGAACAAAGCTGCCCATTGGGAAAATTATTTTAGGAATTCAGTTATGCCTCACATATACTGTCTTTAAATTCCAGAGCAAAATATATAAACAAACAGATGGTGTAGCGATGGGATCACCAATATCCCCCATCGTAGCAGATATCTTTATGGACAGCTGGGAAAATATTGCTCTAAATACATTTAATCCTACTCCAGAAATATGGTGGAGATATGTGGATGACACTCTCACAGTGTTAGAAACAGAACATATCTCTAGCATCTTGACGCATATAAACTTACTAGTGAAGGGAATACAACTTACATTTGAATCAGAAAATGAACAAAAAGAATTAGCTTTGTTAAATTGTAAAATCAAACAAACAGAAGAAGGTAAGCTGAACACTAGTGTTTATAAAAAGCCAACGCATTCTAATAGATATTTAGACTTTAATTCATCTCATCCGTTGTCTGTAAAGGCTGGCTTAGTTAAGTGTCTAACAAACCAAGCAATAGCACTTAGTAGTGTAACAACAGAAGACAAGGGCCAGGCAACAGATCGTTTATTACGAAAAATCAACACGTATTTATAGATTTTTATGTACATTATTGTAGGTCAATGTTAGTAGAAAATACAGTCCGTTGATTGGTTGTTTCTCACACAAAGTTAACCTTGCATCTCTTGTGGCTGTGTCAGTTCATCTATATGTTAACTGTAACCGCCTGTCCACCTTGACCTTTGACCTCAATTACTGTCAACCAATTGGGCCAGCAACCATCTCTCACCAAAACATGACTAATATTTGATACATAAACATTGACCTCAATTACTGTCCACCACTTGGCTAGTAGACAGCTCTCACCACAGTAGTACTAAAGAAGACCTGAACGATGAAATGAAATCTGAAGATGTTGTCCGGAATGCGGCTTCGATAGATAGAAGAGGCGTTGGTGTTGAATAACTATCCTGTAAAATTCATTAGGAATGTCAAAAAAGGTCAAAAGCGAAATAAAAATAATGGTGAAACTAATAATGATAGCATAAATAAGAGAGAATATAAGTCATCTACTGTTATGCCATATAAGGAGGGGACATCTGAGACCCGCGTAGGATTCTTAATAAAGCAGGAATTAGGGTGGCATTCAAACCTACAAACTCACTCACGTAGAACGAGCTCTGTAGGTTAAAGGACTCTGTTGACTCAATTATACGAAATAATATAACTTACAAAATACCTTGCAATGACTGTGAGGTCAACTACATAGGTCAAACTAGTAGATCTGGGATAGTCAGATTGTTGGAGCATAAGAATTTAGCTGAGGTAAGAATGGTTAACCCGGAGAAGATAAGTAATTTAGAAAAAAGCTCAGCGATTGCACTGCATGCATTAACACAACTACACAATAGGGTGGGAGAGGGTTAAAATTCTAAGAAGTAATATAGTTAGGTGGAGAGAGAGGGAGATTGATTACTGAATCTTGGTTCATCGACTCTATACCCACCACATGCGATAGAATTGACTCAATGCAAATACCAGTCAAATCAGAGGATAATGAATAATGTTAAAATGTATTCAATTCACATTATAACATCCTAACAAGTTGTTTATTTTGGCTATAAAAACATCTTATTTCCCATCTTATTGTATTTATATTGATAGCACTCATATGATTTATCTTATATTGATTTTATTCAAATTTCTAATCAATTTTTACTCATGTATATAAATGAAGCAAGAAAGTTGTGTGATTGCCTTGATATGATTATGCGCAATAATTTATGCTCGAAACGTGGTTATCAGTAAATATTACTGTATAACGCTGTGTGACTATCAAAACAATATTTTATCCATAATGGAATTATACTCTACCACAATACTCTAGTTTTATCCTTATATCAATAATGTAAATAAGTTATATGGTCCTTTAGTCCTTTCCAGGGATATTATCTTCTATGAATTTCTAATTTTTTGGATCATGATTAATTGTTAATAATAAAGAGAACAAACAGTTGTTATACTTGTCAGCGTGATAGGTCTCAGTTTGCAAATAATTACTGAACATAGCGAATTATGTTTTAGGCTGAAGTTTGTTTCTATGTATGCATACTGTTAATCCCATCAGTTGAGATATAGTTCACTAGTTTAAGCATACGATTTTTGGTCATTGGGTCCCTCTTTCGAATCTTGCTTCACCTATTTCAGCCTGGGCAACTGAGTAGTAGTATCGTTACTCGTCACTCATTAAGTGTGACTCATAGCACAGTATCGGATGACTGAGTAATCCCTTACTAACATCAGCTTACAAAACGGTGGTGTAATATACTGTTTTACTGAAATAATATGTCAAATTAAAAGAAAAATGCCAGAAAAAAAGTTGGACATAATTTCAGTATGTTGGACTTTTTGTAATTTAAGCAAACCTCTGCAGTTTCATTGAATCTTGTATTGGTAAATGTCATCATAATGACTAGAATAGCTCTCCTCTTAAATCAACTTCTATTTTCAGGTAACTTGTCCAAAGAAAGGAGATCCATTACTACAGGAAAGTCCTAGTCATTGTTTACTAAGCAAAAGAAATAGGTTATACTCATGTATTAATCGATGAAATGGATAAGTGTTATACTTTCGAAAACACCACCTTCAATTTTACCACATACTACAGCACTGTTTATTCGAGCCCTCTGTCTGCCATTTTTTTCTCTACATGTGTTTCACTTCTTTTGTGTATTTTCTCAGTACTAACTAGTATTTTCACTTTTGTTGCGCAATTTGTTTTTAAGTGGAACACCGACTCCACATCAAGTAGAAGCTGGTCAAAACAGTATGTCCAAACTGGATTCTGAAGGGGATTTAGCGGCATCGAATGATGTTGATGAAGAACCTACTTGGGTTGCTGGCGATAAAGACACATCAGTCACTAATCCTAGTGAACAGTGTATACCTATAAGCAGTGCTAATACGCCTGGTCTTTCTGCAAATTCTCAATCTACTTCCGACTCAGATGGAAAGCAAGACAGAGAACAATTTGAGGTTTGTTGTATGCTTCTTCAATAGAATCGATTTCTTCATATGTAGTTTTGCTTTAGTATTATTATTTACTGCTTAGGTTTTCTAGCACCATTTATCAGTAGAAAGTCAACTGGATGAGTAGTTGTCGGAATATAGTTTGCATACTTCATTGTGGATTTATTTTGTTTTGAAATTTTGATACTCAAACGTTTTTCCTTTGTCTCTTTTTCTTTGACTAACGGTGACAACTTGAGGCGATATATTTCTGTGCAAGCTTGTTTATCAATCTGTCTGATGTATTTCAGTGGAAAACCAGATAACAAATAAACGAGTGTATGGTACTCTGGCTTTGCAAATTGTCCCTTGGTTTCCATTCAGTTACATTTGATGTTCCTAATATTATTGTTTATTTGTTCTTACTTAGTTGCAGTAGGGTCCCAAACATTTTCAGTCAGTCAAGTAGAGCAATGTGTGTTCTGCATGATTAACAATACTTACCATTTGAAATTTCCCATTTCTAACATTGTAAGAGTATCAGTTTTCAAGTTGCTTAACATAACACTGAATCCTTTTATACTCATTTTGTTAGTACACACTAACACCTGTACATTTCCGCTCATATTAGTTCTTTTGAATTTCCTTTTTTGTCATTTCTCGAGTGTGGCAACTTGAACTGCTGCACTTCTGTACAGAGTTCTACGTCGAAACTGAGTCGGTTAGTCAGTTTAACGTCCGAATACGCATTCGTGCATGAAGCAAAAAGCTCTACATATTGTATGGAAACAATTGATACTAATCAATTACTTGAACTCATATTTGCGAATTTTTGATTTAATCGTTAGCCATTGAAGGATCATTAGGCTACAGCTTTACTGCTGAACAGTCTACTTTGTAATAAGTTAATTAAGAGTATATATACTGATTCTTATATATCCCATTATTTCATGTGGTAGTACTGTGACGGGAGAAGACAAGAGACACTTGGTAACGGAATGTTTACTAGGAATTTGATATAGGGAAGTTATGTATACCTTATCTCAAAATCATCATTTGTCACAGATCTTCCGTGTTGTACTACTTCTGCAGTTCCTTCGTATTGTGTTTCTTTGTCTTCTTTTCGTGTCTCTCATGTTTTTCCGCAATACTGGTTCATTCGCTCTCTTTGACGTCGAATGTATCCCTTCACTATTTGATATTTTCGTGCTGATGAACATCTCTTTATATACCGCTAATAAATCGTTTCAGTAGTAAACGCTACACTACTAGCACAATCAGTAGCCCAATATAAAAACATGTCATTGTGTCAGTTATAGAAGTATCGAATGGTGATTTAGTTCGATTGTGAAACGCTGATTTCCGTCGTCTTAGATGCTATCGTATCTCGGCATTTTAAACACATGACCTACAACATGTTCTTGTAGGGTTTATAACTTAATTACATAACAAATAATACATGTAGCCATTAAGTATTTGTTTATGGTTCTTACCTCACTAAGTGAATCTCTATTTATTTGCTGTTCAGAGTATGTACTTATTGTCATACTACACTGAGATATGTTGATAAAACAAGTTCTATTCTTTGGAAAATGATCTTTATTGGTTTCATCATTGTAACTAGTGAAATTCACCTACTTCAGTGCTTTTGTAATTACTTCCAAAGTGCATTTTATTGTTAATTAAAAGTTCACTGCGCCTAATATCATCCTCTTTGCTTTCTTTTCTCCTATTCAGATCATTAAGGCTAATACAGATACTCCAGCATCACCTACAGAATTCTTAACCAATGTGTCAACGCCTACTTCGAATGTTTCAAGTAAAATTATCCCAATATCTCCTACAAGTGGAAAGTGTATTACTTCCCCGAAGTCACTTTCTAGTCCTAATATGAAACCCAATATAATACGACATAACTCTGCACGCTTTGAGAAGAAAACTGGATCTGGACGTTTTTCTCGATTAAGTGGAAATGGAATGACACTACATGGAAGCCTTATTCAACGTAATAATTCTGATAGGTATACAATTTTCAACATAATATTATATCGTTGATATGTGATTTACACCGTCTTAAATTGATATTACTTTATATTTCGGTTTTTTTGTTTTGTTTTAGGTCTTTCTTTTTACGCTTATATCACATTTTTGACTCTATGTAATTCACAACTAAGCATGCATATTATTTGGCAACTTATCATTGCTGTTTTTTCTGCTCATTTAGATTAAGTTACTATATCCTAGTTCAATATTTGATATGTCTGATATGTCGCATAAACTCAAAAAGAACAAACTTTTCATGTGCCAACCTGATGGAACCTAATTGCCTAGACTAAACTACGTTGGAGTGCGGTTCGAACACTGAGCCTGTCATCTGAAAGTCTAGTACTTGAGCCAGTGAAGATCCTCTCCATTTCTAACTAATGGAGGTGTGGTTCATGGGTTTAAGCACTCGAATTTCAGTCACAGGTTCGAACCACACTTTATTTTCCTCGGTCTTGACTGGTTGTATCCAAAGGTTTTCATTCTTGTGTTCATCCGAATTGGCATTGACCATTTCGTTGACCTGGTGTTTGATCTTGCTCCTCATTGATTAGTAAACTTGTTTTATGTGAACATGTCTGTTGAGTGCAGACTGATCTGGATATCAGACTTCTAGTAATTCCCTAGTATTATTCATAAATCCGCTATTTAAAATGTCTACGTTTTCTCGGTCAAATTAGTGTCCGAGGTTGTCCACATGTGATGATATGAAGAAATAGGTAGCATGACTTTGGGCCATAATTTTATATTCTTGATTGCGACGTCTAAAGGGACATTGTTTTTGGCTATGTTATTATGTTTTTTCGCACTTGATTAACCCTAGTAATGACTTCAGAAATGTACTTCATATGTGATAGAATGAATTTTGAGACTAAAATTTAAACTAATACGGATTTTTGGTAATTTCACATCAGGTTTTACAACTGTATAATAAAATATTAATCATAGCCACTTGAAACCAATGTTCAGGCATATGTATTAGTGGATCATTTCCTCTTAGCTTCCGTGTATGTGTTTTGCTCATCATTTGATTTGAGAGTACGCATTTTTTGCTGAAGCTTTTGGGGGTATCTTCTCTTTTGAAGTCTGTCAAGCTGTAACAACAGAAGACAAGGGGCAGGCAACAGATCGTTTATTAAGGAAATCAACACACATTTGTAGCTTTTCATGTACATTATTATAGATTATTGTTAGCAGAAAACACAGTCTTCTGATTGGTTGTTTTTCACTGAAAGTTAATCTTTCATCTCTTTGTGGCTGTTTCTTGAATGTCAGATCATTTATATGCTAACTGTATCCGCCTACGCAAAGTCTGCTGTGGCTGGTTGTTGAATCAGTCTTTGTTCGTATTTTTCTAACGACCGATATTGAGAACGTAAACATTGACGTAAATTACCATCTACCAATTTGGCTAGCAATCAGCTCTCACTACAAAGGGATTTTCTCTTCCTTTCTCCTCAGGACTGGGGTGCTGCAGTTTGTCTTAGCTTTTGGTGTAGCGCCTGTATACAATTTCTTTTGTGTGCTATTGGATTATCGCTTTTGTAGTTGAGTATGCAGTCTGTGTGGTTTGTTTCTAGATTCCTTGTACTTGCTCGCTTGACAAAGACATCCGAGAAAAGTTTTTCTTTATTGTCTGACTCTTTTTCTTTTGTGAACCTGATATCCACAAACATTTGTGTGAGTGTTTTCCAATCCATTTCTTGTGATTATGTCCACATAAATATTTAAAATTTTGCTATTGTCACAATTTCTTTTTCTAATTGTCATCTTTTGTTAGTAGAATAAGCAGTGGAATAACCTTCACTGTTGTCTGAAATAACCTGCATTTTAGATTTTTTACCAAAGGTGGTGATGGAGGCCTTTTTGAAACTAGTTTTCTAAAACACTTCTTGTTTTACACACTTTTTTCACTTTCATTTGTCTCTATTTTTTATTTTCTCTGATTTCCTTTATAGTTATGGTCATCCTGGTAGTGGACATGGTCATCCAAATCGTCTTTTACGTGGTGGACTAAATAATCCGGTAAATTGTTTTGCCTTTCTACTTCCCTGGACGCCTTTGTCTTCCCACAAATTTAACGAGTCCAGTCTATTTAAAGCATTTTTGACTAGTCTGTTAATTTCCATACATTTGAAAGTGATTTGTTAAACAAACGCTCACTCTTGTCATGGACTATTTCATATTCTATTTCAGCGGTTTTGAATATTCAAAAATATTTATACACTATCGCCGTTCGTCCTTATTCCTAAGGATGAGTAGTCATTTTTCAAAAATTTGCTTGTTTACTATTTGTTTACAGTTTGGCGGGAAAATTGATTTAAAAAATCTCGTCTGAACTTCAAACTTTTTAAAATGTATTCAAAGAGTCACTTTATGTTATCATAAAACAGTCTGTCACTGCAGAAACGATTAGTTACGTCGGAATATTGTTGTTAAATAACACTGACTAACTGTTTATGATTGATTCAAAAGCTGTAGAACGGCTGTAGTGGTGAAATTCTGCTCAGCAGCAGGACTCGGTCAAATAATAGCCTCCGGACTACCAGTTCGGTTGCGCTACCATGTAAGTCATCAGACCCAGCTGTTAAACAGGTCATTTTTTTCAATGAATCACTACATTTTTATCCCTAGATCAGTGTATAAACTACATTTGTCATCAGGTGTTTTCACGAGATCTTTCTTGATACGCTTTGATTTTTACCATAATCATATATCAGTTAACGAGAAAAAAAGGTAGGGAGGAGAAAAACGATCATAATTAATTTTGCTATGGTTGTTTTTCAAATGCAGATAGTATAACTAGTAGATAAATTAAATTAGTTAAACTGCACTAATAATTACTAGCAATATTACCAATAGGCTTTTCCAATCTTCTTTCAGGCACAGTGGCATAAAGGAAGAGTGAGTATTAAATCAGTTTTCATTACTAATCTCAAACACTAATCTATGGTGCTATTTTGCTGTAGTAAAATTCATAATAGAATTTATTTTGAAGGTGAATCATGTAGTATAGTTTTAAAGTTAATTTTTATGTAGTATCTATATGTATAGTAAATAAATTTATAAGCTAATTGGTCACTTGTGTTGTTGTAATGTCGGTATTAAATGTTATTTTGCTCACTTTTGATTGAGGAATTGATAATACTCATCGAATATTGATATTTCCTAGTTAATGTGATCAAGATAATAGTCATTTCAAAGTAGTAGTAGTAGTCGGTGTTGTTGTCGTTTTTGTTGTTTCTATTCACAGCGGAAACTTTTAGTTCTGAGTATGAGGCCGAATATAAAAAAAAGATGTCTAAAAACCTTTGGAAGAAATATTGACATAAGATTTCTTTCTGTTTAGGAAGTAGGGATTTAATAAGTTTCAAGTTTGACCACGGATTAATATAAGTTAGAGAATAACCGAAAACCAACGGATGCTTGGGACTCTTCATCAGTACATCCTCATGGCCCCACCAGGGACTGAACTTAGGAACTTCAATTTAAGGTGTAAGGATAAATACTGGCTGATGACATTGGCTGGTGGTGGCTCTAAGAACTGAGCATTTGCATACGTTAGAATTGATGATCGTCGGTGGCATAGCGGTTAGGACGCTCGCCGACCATGCACATGGCCCGGGGTTCGATCCCGGCCACGACTCTTACCTCGCTAAGCCAGAATAATGCTGGTAAAGAGGAAGGTTGGACATGATAAAAACTTCAAGCCTCTAGCTTGAAGCCTTATGTTCCACTGGGAACGTGAAGGAAAAAAAAGAATTGATGAGTCATTGGATTCCGTCCCAGTGGCTAAATGACCTACTGAAGAAGAGTCTCGAACTGGGACGAAACAGCTGTCCAGTACTCCCTGGTTTCTAGTGGTTCTCGAACTGATATCAATCCGTGATTAAACTTGAAATTAATGATGCTTTGCTAAATAACCTCATGAACAGGATTTACTTTGCAAATGAACCAGTCTTGTGATTTTGTTCACATAATCACCAAATTGGCTTTTTCTTTTCGTCACCTAAATCATAAAGCACAAAAATCCAGATAAAATTGTTACAGCGAGCGAATCATGATTTCTGGCAATAGATTTCCAATTAGTTTTTTATTCACAGAATTAGTTTGAATCATTGTCAAATATTAATATACTGATATTCCTATAATATTTTAACTGTTTATTTGGCTTCAAAGCGAATTGTCTCGCCAGATATTAGGTACTATATTATTAGGAGTTATAATGTTCCAAGTGCATTTATGTCTTCTTATAAATACGTCTTAATATTCTCACCACCTTTCTTCTATAGATATTAAATGTATATTGAACACTTCTACCATCCATGCGTCTTTCCATATTTAAATGAAACTTTAATCCCTTCGTTATAAATACTAACCAATCACTTGTACAGAATAGTTCTGTTAAAGATGTATCCCCCAATGCTAAATTCACATGAAATTGTATTATGGTTTGAATCACGTACTGCAGTTTATTACCATAAACGAAGGCCTTTCATTTGCATGTGTTGCTTTCTTTTCTGTTTACAAAATATATCAACCCCTTGTGTAACATGATCAATTTATATAAATATATATGTGTTATACAAGGTTAATTTTTTCAAATCAAAAATGTAATCCTAATATTAACAAAGCATGTGGTAACAGTGATTTTTTCTCTCACAAAAAATAGTAAATCACCTAGTGGTTACTTTTTTTTCGGGTAGATAAATGTATATTATTTATTGTCTCTCATTTTTTGCTGAAATGCTTTCTTCACTTTTCCTTTTTACTGATAGGTTGTGTTTGTATATATATATATATGTATATATATATATAACCTGTGTTTGACAAAATGTTTATTATTCTTTTGTTTTTCTCTTAGCACCATAGTAAGGCGCCGAATTTTAAACCACCAACGAATTGGGGCTCAATGAACATGGACTATAGTAATATGGGTGTTTCACCGTCCTCTTCTGCTTCTGCTGCCGCCGCCGCTGCTGCTGCTGCTGCTGGTGCTCCTCCCGTTCCAAACGACGTTAACAATGGGAATATGGGTCATTGGATGATGAATAATGGGAATATGAATCCAAACAACTTAAATATGATGCCGTATAATAGTCCGCATTCTTTACCACCTCACCATCCGTATCATTCTGCTCCTAGTAGACCTATGCGACCGAATTATCCTGGCCTTAGTGGAAATACTGGGCATAATTTATATAATGCTGGTATGATGCGAGGAAATAAAAAATAAACACCTAACTTTTAAACTGTCTTCATTTTTAAAACCTTTGTGATTTCTTTATGTATATATCTTTTGTTTATTTTTATATCCTAACCTTTTAATTTTATCATTTTTTAATTTCAAACTTTTTTGAAATAATAATTTAATTGCTGGACTGCTATGATCAGAGAGGCAGACATTGTAACATATAACAACGATTGTATGCATTAGGCAATCGGGCATATTTATAGTCTGGGTGGGGGGTGTGTGGCAATGATACTTCATAGCTCCCCATCCTTAGATGTCTTAGATTGACTTTCAACTCATTATGCATTGGTTGAAAGTCGAAACACTGTGATCATAATGGTGTTCTTTTAAATTATACTTACTTTCCTTTTATTTGTCGTTTGTACTTTTCTCTCATCCATCTTTCCATTATACTTTTTATGTGATCTCATTTTCATTTACTCCGGCAAATAATAATAATAACGAGTCAATACTAACTGTGAAATATTTGTTCAACTTAAACTAATGGTGTAAAAAATTATCTTGAAAGTCAGAGCAAATAAATCACTAGTTAGAACCTGTTTATTTATTATTACTCCTTTGAGTTGGAAATGGAACATCGGGCTTTAACGGCCTATGTCCATTTCGTCCTGTTCTCTGCAGTTTTCCTAAGCTGGTTCCACGATTGCTCATGAGGTCTCATCTCCTTCTCCTCGGACGCCCAACTCTCTGTTTCCCACTTGGCTTCCACTCGACGGCCTTATACGTGATTTCACTCAACGGTCTTCTCAGCGTGTGTCCGATCAGTCTCCCTTTCCTTCAGCATATTTGTTAGGTGATTGGGGTTCTTGGTTAGTTCGTTCCCAGAGTTCCTTGTTGCTAGTCGTTTCTGGCCATCTAGTCTTGATTGTAGAGTGAAGGAAACTGTTGGTAAAAGTCTGCAAGTAACCTTTTGGAAATGATTTTGGTGACGCGCCAAATCCCTGGACGACAATATAGACTCACTGAATTGTCATTAGTATTGAAAATCCTAATCTTGTTCTTTATGCTTGATACATCAAATTTCAGAGTATTAAATACACACCTTGATCCAAAGTTTAGTGGACATCTCTTACTGAACTATTGCTGTCACGGTTCATTTGATAAATGTTCGTTGTGGAGTATTTCTTTGTAATTAAGATTTTGAAAAGGTAAGAGGTAAAGAATTAGTTGTTCAGTGATTTCTAGTTCTATGGGTTTGCCGGCTAATATCAGCTCTTAATAAAAACTAGTCCGGATAAGAGTCTACTCTAAACTCAAGGCATTAGTAGTAATAGTAGTAGACCGTGCAGCAATATGTGTCTAAAACAGAAGTACTACTTTTTGAAGTCGTCTGATTTTTCAATCACACTTCATATTAAGTCACAAATAAACTGAACACTATATTTGCCTATGGTCATTATGTTTTCTTCATGCGTTTGCTATCCACTTGCTTTTGTTCGAGTTGTGGAGCGGATGGTTTAGAAATGGAAAACTCGCCTAGTTTCTTGTTATTTATTCGATTCTCTTACAGTGGTCACTTGGGAAGTTATCGGGATCATATATACCGAAAAGTCTTAAAATTCCACTCTAGTTGAACCTAAAGATATTGATTTTGTTGCAGCCTAACCTAAGTCAGGGTATTATTTAGAACAAAGGAGTCTTAACAGTGTTTCGTCCTAGTTGTGAACACTTAAACGGTGCGGTCTTAAGAAGTCAACCACAGAGCCTCCAAGTTCCATCGTGGGTTGAAATCCTGTGACTTCCGTTTCAGTTGTAAAGTAGAATAGAGAAAACTGACGTACACTCCTCCCGCTCTTTGATGGGTTGCCTGATGATACATCTCTATAAAGGTGCCTAAATCCTATCCTTGTTGTTGTTTTCCATATATATATATATATAACTTTACACATAAATATCAAATAAAACGTATCGTAGTAATGTCCCAGTAGGACATGATGATTGTGAATTGTAATGGAAGACCGCTGTCAACTGTACATAAGTAGTCGATTGACCGAATGGCACAGAAAGGCTTTTAAAGCCATCGGACGCGTAACAATCAAATTATAAAGGAACTGGCCAAAGGTGAAAGTATAGTGTTATTGAATGAAAGGGAATTACTAGAAAAGTGAAATCTATTCTTAGTGATCAAACCAAATTTCAAAAACTTCATACTTCGATTGAGAAAGCTGAACATCTTTCTGGAAGAATTGTGACAAAAAGGAGTAATTCCAACTAACATGTGTGACTCAACGAAACCAAAACTCTGTAACACGACCATATGGTCTTCCTACATTGCACTTTGGTTTTAAATGTATATTTTCCCCATAGAGTCGCACAGTGGTTTCTTCAAATCTTCGAACCTTTACAAGAACAAGTAGTATATTGTTAGACAAATGATATCTTTGATTTTTTGTCTATGAAGGCAAATTAGGGTAGAAAGCACATTATCCTTGGAGCACCATTATTGTTATTATTATTCCCTTGGGCTTCGAGTGGGACATAGGGCTTCAACAACACATCTCCACTTTGTTCTATTCTCTGCTGCTCTCTTCAGCTGGGTTCACGATTGCCCATAATCTCCTGTCTTCTCCACTCCACACGATCTCCTCCATGTCACCCTCGGATGACCCACTCGTTGTTTCCCATTGGGATTCCACTCGATAGCCTGGTACACGAAATTATTCGATGGCCGAGTCCATCTCCATTTTCTCCTACATATTTGTTGAGCAATTGGCTCTTGGTTGGTTTGTTGCCAGAGCTGGAGCACCATTACTCCTTACTAATGTACCATCAATCGGAACTGGATTTCACGTAACAGCTTATCATTGACAGGCAGGCTGACATTTGAAATTCCTAAGTCTAGTCTCAAGAAAATTCCTGCTAATTTTTAATGAATAAACATTTTGACTTTAACAATATGAGTCGATAGAATTTCCATAGGCTCATCATTAAGCCTAATTTTATGCAGAATTTTTTCTGTCCAAACTCGAAAACGGCCTACTACAGAGTGTAATCAATAGGTTTAGTATGTATTACCGCAGTGTTGATGACCTTTTGTCATTACTTATGAGAAGAATGGTGAATACTCTTATTTCCATTTGTGCAGAGTAGCATGCACTAAGTAGATTAGAAAATGCACGTTTGAGAGGTGTGTTTTGGAAGGATATATTTGCAGGTCCTTGTACACTACCTTAGTTTTGTATCTATTCGTTATAAAAAACATCCAGTGCACTGTCTGGCGAAAAAAGCAAGAAAGATTAGTACTGAGTGTCGCTTACTAAAGGAATGTGAATGGATTTACCGTTTCTTAGTCCAGGTGGAATATCTGCGTTGTTTTGTGGAGTGTGCTACTGATAAGATTTGTCAGCGGTATATAAAGACGTTCATCAGCACGAAAATATCAAATAGCGGAGGGATACATTCGACGTCAAAGAGAGCAAATGAACCAGTATTGCGACAAAACATGGGAGACACGAAAAGAAGCACAATACGAAGGAACGGCAGAAGTAGCACAACACGGAAGATCTGTGACAAATGATGATTTTAAGATAAGGTATACATAACTTCCCTATATCAAATTCCTAGTAAACATTCCGTTACCAAGTCTCTTGTCTTCTACCGTTAAAGTTTCATTAAAAAAAGCTGAGGGTAGCGTGCATACAAACGATCATTTATTATAATCACGGAGATTCACAAGAATAAGAACATTCCATATGACAAATCTTGTCGTTTATCTTCCATTCAATGAATGGTAATACATCTAGGAGTCATAAGCTAGCTAATTTTGCCAGGTTCGTCTGTATCTATCAGTTCAACTGCGCTTGTGAATACAGTTACACTGGACATACAACTAGACGACTTAGCCAATGTGTCTCAAGATCTCCCACTGTGGCCTGGTTAATGACAATTAATCGTTTCACTACATGAGTAAAAAAAGCATCTGAGGGTTCGAACCCAGGACTTCCTGGTTGCAAGGTGAGCTTGTGGAGCATTCAGCCACTGGGACCCGATCCAATGGTCCATGAATTCTAACTTCTACCAATTCACGACATATCGCGACCACTAGTCAATGTCTTCGGCGAGTATTTGGACTCATGTCCGACCTGCTATACCCTACTGGTCACTGGTCCAGTACTCTCAGATTTTCCAATGGATCTTTAACCGATGTCAGCTCATGATGAAATCCTGTAAGCAATCAGTCAAATCCCTACAAACCAATACTTGGCTATTCGGTTTTATTATTATTATTACTATCCATATTATTACTAATAACACTTGTTGAGCGTATGAAATAAAGACTGAATTACGATTATTCATTAGATTATCTCATGTTCCTGTATATTTGATTAGAAAGCAAAAAAGACAACCCAGTATGACTCCATTGGGTTGTGGATGAATGAAATAGCTGACCTATCATCACACTTACAGCAGCTTGAAATATACTAGGAGAAGCATTGAAGCCGAATAACAAAAAGTTAAAATAATCTCCGCGGTGTCGTTAAAGTTGTAGTTAAGGATTCAGACATCATCCAGAGGTAGTATCCGAAGAAAGATATTTGACCAGTCAGTCTTACAGAATTTATTTCAAAGTAATTTGTATGAGTCTTCTGGTTGTCCTATTGCAATAGCACATTTATGCGATCTAGGATTAACGGTAATTCTGAAGTTACCTCGTACTTTCTGTTTTGCTCTATCTTCTTTTAGTCCTGTCACTGTAGTGGTTGCCCAAAATAAGCTACCGATTTTCTGAACAGCATATATATATATATATATATATATATATATATATAGGCAAGCTCACTAACACCAGTAACTTTATCCATCCAACTCTTTGTGTATTGAATTATATAATATAAATAGCCTATTTTCAAGTGTTAGTTTATAGGGATTCGATATATTTCAAGTTTGACCGTGAGTGCGTACTGCCTATGAGTCCCAAACTATGACGAAACAGCTTTCCAGTACTCTCCTGGTTTTCAGTGGTTCTCTTTTTTTCCTTCACGTTCCCCAGTGGAACATAGGGCTTCAAGGTACAGGCTTGAAGTTTCTGTAGCAGTGTTTTATTTTTACAGGATTGGGTTGCTAGCCCCATGCCCGACCTTTCCTCTTTGCCAGTTTTATTACTGGCTTAGCGAGGTAAAGGAGTGCGTTGGCCGGGGATCGAACCCCGGACCGTGTGCATGGTCGGCGAGCGTCCTAACCTCTATGCCACCGACGCAATGGTTCTCTAACTAATATTAATTCGTGGTCAGACGTGAAATAAGTGGCCCATATTTTGAAGATATTTAACTAAATCTTACAAATATTTTTGTATATTGACTTTAAAATTGTTTTTTATTTCTTCATTTGATATGAACCAATAAAATAAAATAATGTTGTAGCATCCTGTTCAATTTGTTATGCAGCATTGTAAACAAGATGTTCAGAGATTTTGAAACATAGTCTGTAGAACTCATCTTTCGCCTGTGCATCAAATGACACGTTTTCACCTTTTGAGATTTATATTTTTTTGGTGAATTTCATTACAAAAGTTCGAATATGTGACTGTACCTTCTAAAGAATAATTTAAATTTGCTTGGACGAAAAATGAATGTCATTATGTACAATGCGTCAGTGGTAGAATGCTCACCAAGCGTGTAAGTGGTCTAGCTTCTATTCCCGGACGTCCCACTGCTAAACTTTTTCTAGCTTACCAGGCGATAGTAAAGCAGGGAAAAAGAGAGGTTGGGTGTGAGGTTAGCGGTCCCACCCTGTTAAAAGATAA